TTACATGTGTCTATATGTATATGTTCCTTTTAACTCCCTAATATATTTCATGTGCATGATCTTGCTTGCTAATATAAAGGGACAGGTTATTTTCTGGAGTTCTGGGTTCAGAGTGAGTCCGTGACTTTCCCATGATGTGGTGGGAGTGCAGAGACCGTCCGTGGGTCTCTAAATCCTGTCCTCCCCATCCTCTTCTGGGTTTTCAGGTATGTTATTTTAATTTGTTAAACATTTGTCTTTTTTTTTGTCCTGAAAAATGATACTTTGACAACAGTAAAATTGTTTAGAATATCTTTTTGGCCTTTAAAAAATGCTTTTAGATGCTGAAGAGAAATGCCAGTAACATGAAGCAACTTTGTAAGGGCTCCCAGATAGCTTTTCCTTCTGATGCCAGCTCTGGTCTCTTTCTGTAACTTATTATGTCAAACTGGTGACATTTTCTGTTGTGTGTAAACACGAGTAACCCAGAAATATTTACCAAAGCATTTTCTATTGAAATTACTTACCTTTGGGTACTTTGGGTCCATTCCTATGTGGCGTCCTGATCCATAGGCTAGGGAAGAAGAAATTCATCCAATGTTACTCAGATTCTTTTTTTTTTTTCCCCTTAAAGATTAGAGGGAGAGGGCGCCTGGGTGGCTCAGTTGGTTAAGTGACTGCCTTTGGCTCAGGTCATGATCCTGGAGTCCTTGGATCGAGTCCCGCGTCGGGCTCCCAGCTCGGCAGGGAGTCTGCTTCTCCCTCTGACCCTCCCCCCTCTCATGTGCTTGCTCTCTCTCATTCTCTCTCTCTCAAATAAATAAATAAAATCTTTAAAAAAAAAAGATTAGAGGGAGTAGTAAAACTGTGTTGAAGTATTAAAGGGAATAATAAAGCTGGTGATTTCCTTATTATGGGTTTATTACAAGTACTTATGTATTGGTTTGTTTTAGGTTTGGCAGCTATGGTTGTGAGTTACTTGTCTTCAGCATTCTCTTACCACAGAGTAATCTTTTGTACATCATTCATAATGATCTGTCAGTTTTGTGGAATTTTAAAAAAAGGATTGAAAGACATTGTGCGGTTCAACTGAAAATACATTTGAAATTTTTGTTATATTTTCCTGAAAGAATTGTGATGAAATACATGTGAATGTTTAAAAAGCAAAAAAGTCATTGTAGTCAAAGTTAGCCAAACATGAAAAGACAAAGGTAGTGGGTGATGGGCACTGCCAACTCGGCACCCCCCTAGTGGGAAGCCTTAGACTGCTGGAGTCCTCTTGGGTACAATGGGAAATTTTGGAAAGAAGGGTAGAGAAAGGCAAGGTAGGAAGACCCCTCCCCCACAAGAAAAAAAAAAAAGACATCCTTAAAAGGAAGAAGGAGGACAAATTTTGAGACATGGGGGAGAATTGACTTCATCTATTTCACAACTTTCAAAGGTCAGGGAGGAGCTGTGAAAAGACAGTCATGAAAATTTTTTCATTAGAGTGCCAACACTGAGCTAAGCTTGTGAGAGTTAACTGATATAATGTACCAACTTTATGAGGTAGATTCTGTTATTTTGCCCTGTATAAAATGGGGATACTTCTGGAGTCCCTCAGCCACTGGATAATGGGCTGGCTGACTTCAGGGTCTAAACCTGTAACTGCTTCCCCTGGGCTTTTTATTAATAATCATTGTAATAATAGTTGTAGTTTTTATAGTTAAGCTAATTTGTAGTTGTAATTTTGTAGCTATTTAATTAGCTAATAAGCTAATAAGAGTTCATGAGTCTTTAGGAACAAACAAATCACTTCTTGATACAATAAAAAACATGCTTCTGATATTTTGATAACTGTATATTAAATATCTCTACCTCTGTGCGGAAAGATTGAAAATTTTGATAAAAAAATACCATTAACGGGTTAGATTTGTTTTTAGTACATTGAAAATATTGTATTACTTACAAGCAGATTGGATCCAAGATGCTCTGATTTCAGGGGTATGGTAACTGAATTCATTGGACCTGAGAAAGTATCAAGTGATACTTTTGTCTTTTGTAAGTAATGTATCATGGACATATTTCCTTCATTACAAAGTGGTCTTTAGGAAATAGGGGCCAAACCCTTTATTCTAAATTATGTATTTCTATTCTTAATGACTTTTTGTTACACATCAATGGTTTAATGGTTACAGAGAAGATTCTAGAACATTTTTTATGTCAACACTTTTTTCACCACAACATTATGCAGGATTTTCCAGTTGACTTTCTGCTCTTTCTCAAACCCAGACTGAAATCACAGAAGTGGGGAAATACACCACTTTCCTCTTACCAAATAAAATGCTTGTTTCTGTCTTTATTTATACATTCTCACAGTTGCCTGAATCCAGAACCACATAGGCCGAAAGTAAAATATAAAATAGTTTGCTTGGAAAACATTTGCTGTATGAAGTAATTGTCACTAAATACTTTGGATTGACAAGCTGGTAAATTTCAGTTGGTTTTGAATAATACTTCTGCTAGTGTAAAATTGGCAAAATTTAGTGAATTTCAATAAATGGGAGCCCAGGAAAATAAAATCTAGGAGAATTTTATTAACTAATATAGCTCTGAATGATTTCAGTTCTGGTTAACTTCTCTCTCAACAGCCTTTTATTCCATGCATACCCATGGTATCATATTAGTTTTGCCAAGAATTGCTTTTATAAATCAGTTTTACATCTTCTTTTTAAATATTCTATAGTTTTGTATATTTGTGGTTGATATTTATAAAATAAGCAATAGTTCTTGGCATAATTAGACATAGAATATATGACTGCATATCTCTGAATTATATTTTAATGTTTTACTAACTTGTTAAGACAATAGGAAAAGGAATCTTTTTTTTTTTTTTTTCAAATCTGGAATCTCCCCCAAATACTCTCAATATCGGATATGCTGAAATAACATAAGATTTGGGACTATGTCCTAATAGAGACCAAGCTCAGTATTATAATTATTTAGGTAATAGGATGTCAAATCAGATCCAGGGTGTGAATTGGGGGGGCTCTCAAGGGCTCCTGGGAGGTGGAGGTCAGGGTGCCTGAGCATAACTCCATTTGCCCCCACAGTGAGGATGTGGCCTTTCTGGCACTGGAATTGGCTTCCGAAACAGGAGTAGAGGCAGGGTATCTGTAACTGATTGTACTAATATCATAGATTATGTGAGGGCATAGAGACTTGAATAGTGATGAAATTCTAAGTAGTAAAGGACAGCGTGCAGCAAGAAATTCAGCTTCTCAGGTCTTATAGTATCATGGGTAATTGTATGACCCCATTAGAGATTCTTGGGGCCAAAGGACTCTGCATGGCCGCAGCTGCACCAGTTTCAGCATAGAACAATATATGGCTGTCTTATATCTGATAAGATTTTACAGACAAGTTTTATTTCGATTCAGGACTTAATCTAAACCTATAGTGAGTGTGTGTATATGTATATTTGAATGGGAATTGATTACAGATGGTGTCATGCCAACTTATGTTCTATCGAAATGGAGGCCTTTATTTGGAACAATATTGATCTTAATTGATTGCATTGAGAATACGCATTTTCTGCCTTGGAAGGATACAATTCATATCATTCTATGTTCTTTCTACAAAAACTCAGTTATTTAATTTTCCTTATTTTTATGCTCATGTTTTATAATGTTACTTTAAAATTTATATGGTTTTATATTATTTTCTAATTCGTATGTTTGTAAAAGTTTGTGTTTTCAACTAGACTACAAGCCCTTTGTTGATAGTCCTTGCTCACATACAACTTTTGTTCTTTGCAAAGGGTGTAGTGCCGTGACAAAATGAATGGAGCCAAATAAAATCAACATGAATTCCAATTTATGATTCAAATTCAGATTTTTAAAACCAGAACTATATGCATGTGTCTTGCATTATAATTGTGGCTAACACATTGACCAATATTGTGTTAATAAAGTCAAGATGTGAAAATCAAAATAATGGTTTACTCTCCCTGTAATAGAAGATAACTTGATCTCATTGACAGTGGCCTCTCTACCATGTGCCTTGATTTACTGAGGAGTACTGCTCTTCTTTGAGAGCCCTGATAGTGCAGAGGGCTTTCAAAGAAATACTGATGGGTCCCAATTTCCTTGTCTTTCAAATTCCTTTTTGGCCATCTGTCTAGTTACTTATTTCCAGTGTTACTTATTTTAACTGAAGTGTCCTTCAGAAAGGAACTAAGAAAAATGAATAAAAAATGGAAATTGGTTAGTGCCATCACTGTTTGCTTTGGCTGGTAAAAGATTATTTTGGTAAATGCATTGAATGACTGTCAATAGAACTGCTTGCCCATTAATGAATATGCTAATGTTATTCTCAAATTGGTACAATGAACATCAATATTCTCTGAATTTTGCTGAAGAACTTCTACATCTAGGTGGAGCCATGTGAAAGAGTTCTCTATATTTCTTTCTGTCCTCAAGCTGTGACCTGCATATTTTTCATAGTTTTATGAACAAGGGAATCATTAGGAGAAAGATTGTTGTATTTTATAGAAGGAATTAAAGTTCCTGGGTGTTTCATGGCTCAGTTTGGAGGATATTAGTCTTACTAGTTTTTAATTATGGTTGTGAGGTGGTGGGGGTCTTTGTTGTACTGAATCTGAACTCCTATGACTTGACAGTTTTTCTTGCATTATTCATTTTAAATAGTATAGGAATATGTTCAAGTGAAGTATCCTTATTTTTATCACTTATGTTGGTCTGAAAGAAGAACCAAGGTTAATATTCTCATAAGTGTTTCTTTTTGAAAGCCTTTATTTAAAACTTTAACTATCAGTAGATGTTCATATAATATTGAATCCCATACATTTTCTCCATTCCAAATTGGATTATTGTCAATAGCAGTGTTATACTGTAAGTGGATGATGTAAGTTTGAAATTATGCATTATTTACAAGTTAAAAATCCAATCAGGACTTGAATTCATCTTTAGTGATAAAGTCTATACTTTTTAAAATTGAAATACTACTTTATTACTTTTTAGGGAATGCCAGGATTTCCTGGAAACCAAGGATTAATGGGACAAAAAGTGAGTATTAATGAAACTTGAAAGATTTGGGGCTGGATCTGTTTATTAGAAGGGCAAAATGGTAATATCTTCACATAGAATACATTCTTACCACCTTCATGGCAACAGTTAATTGTTCAAATATGATATAATTTCAGAAACTATTATTTTGTCTTTATAATTAGTTTTTGTTTTGTTTTATACAGATAATATTAATTTGGGTTTATACATGTGCTTTCTATTTTACTTGGTTACTTTTCTATCTTGTGCTCTTTGACCATCCTTTTGGTATAATTTTACTACTTCCTGAACTATATCTTTAGCAGTTCTTTTAGTACAGATATTTTGGTAACAACTCTTTAGATTTTATCTAATTTTAAATATCTTTATTTTACTTTTGGTTTTGAGGGATCATTTTGTAGGGCATATGACTCAAGGTTGATGATTATTTCACTGAAACATGTTGAGGATTTTCTTCTATTGTCTGCAAGATTCCCTTATTAACTATGAAACATCTGCTCTCATTCTAGTTACTGTTCTTTTGTAACTGATCAGTCCCTTTCTTTGGGATTCTTTTAAGGCATTTTATTTGTCTTTCATGTTCTAAAACTCATTACAGTGTATCTAGATATGCATTTCTCTTTATTCGCCCTGGGGAGAATTCAGTTTTCTTCCTGGTTCTGTGGAGTTATTTCCACTAACTCTGGAAGACATCACCTGTTATTTCCAAATTACATCTCTTCCAATCTTTGTTCCCTCCTTCTGGAATTACAATTAGATGAATTTTATTTCTTCTCATTTTGTCCTCCATGCTTCTGAAGAGCTTCTTATTTTCATATCCTTGATTCTAGCATTCTGGTTAAATTTTTTGGATATATTTCTTACTGTACTTATTCTTCCTTTACTGTGTCTACTCTGCTGTTTAAACCATCAATAGATTTAAAACAAGACAATCATACTTTTCATTTCTGAAAGTTCAACTTTTCAATAACATCTTTTTATTCTTGACAGCCTCTTGTTCCATTTATGGTCCTAATCATCTTTCATGATTCCATTCTTTAATTTGTAAAGATCTCATATATTCTAAAATCTGTTTCTAACAATTCCAGTATCTGCAGTTTGTTATTTCTGTTAACTCTCAGTCTTATGGCTTGCTGCCTCTTTCTTTCTTGATGAAAATGAGCTCATTGCTTCATGTTAATTGGTGTGAGTTCTGTCAGCCTAATTGGGGCATGGAGAGCTGCCTCCTGCTGGTAGCCATGGATATCACATCAGCCCCTGTAAGAGTCCTGGGTCGTCCCAGGTATTAAAGATGCCCACCCTCCCCCCATGGCTAGCCCACCATTCAGTTTCTCATGCACTGGACACCTCCAGCCTTGTTGGCTCCTGCATCTCTATCTCTGGCAAGATTTCTGCATAGATCTAAATCCTCATAATCATAGTGTCAACGCAGAGTATATTTTATTAAAATGCGGGATCTTTGAAGACCTCTCCAACTTCTTATAAGACCAGCACTATCTCCCAGAGGATGTTCTTTCCAGGTTTTTGTTCTTGTTGTTCAGGGTTCAAAGACGCCCTTGGAATACCCAGTTAGCCACAGTCCAAGAAATTGAAGTAGAAATGCTATTCTATATCCTGTATTTTCTTAATTTATGTTTACTATCATGTTTCTTCATCTATGATAAGAAAGAAAATTTTTCACATGATAACCTCCCCCCCCCCCCCCGTTGTCTTACCTCACCAACTCTGTGTGAACTTCCAGGTCTTTGTTTGAAACAATGACAGTATCTCTCCTGATTTTCTCATAAAAATATATGACTTAGTGATTTCACAGACCTTAGGCCCAAATCTTTAAGGTGTTATGTTCCTGATTTTTCCATCCTATGTTGCTTCTGTTTTACAGTAGAGAAAGGGGAGGCAGACTGGGCTGATTGGTATTGAATTTTCATTTCATAATGCTTTGGTGGGAAATTCCTGGAAATGGATTGATAATTCAAAATTTTAAATTTAATCTGTATTTGATTTTTAGGGAGACATTGGGCCTCCAGGACCACTAGGAAAAAAAGGAGCTCCAGGGATTCCTGTATGTTAATGTCATTATTATCAGGGTGTTTGAAATACATTTTTTATGTACCAGGAGTTCTTATTTTGGAGTTTATAAAACTGGGGAGGATCCAACAGTGAGATTTTGGGAGTCCACAAATCCATTTGTATGAAAAAGATTATGTCCATTTTTCCAGAAACCAGAAAACAAATATTCTATCTATTCATTAAAAAAACTAAGTACCATAAAAAGTCTAAAACTTTAAGTGTTCTTTTTTCATTTTTTTTTAAAAAATTACACATTTATTACACTAATGAGGAAGAATATATTCAGAAGAGGTAGTATAGGAAGATCCTTAATTAGTGAACAAATAATTTTGGAAGTTTTGAGACTGGAAGGGACATATGAGTTTGATATTAGAAGTTATGAAAATCCTATTGTATGTGTGCAAGATTGCATAAAAATTGCTAGAAGTGATGTTGATTTTAACCTGTGATTCAAATTACCTATAATAGCTTTTTCTTTAAGTTAAATGGGTATCTTTCATGTTTAACAGTTTATGACTTTATGTAAGTTAACACAGATACTTTATCCATTGCTTGGTGAAAGAGTTGGTGAATTTTGCATATAAGAGTAAATAAGAAAAATATTGTGCATTAGATATGAATTTGACTTTTGGGGAGGTTTAAAAGAAGACTGTTCCCTTTAAAATGGAATATTCAACCTCCACCTTCACTACCATGTCATTTGTTCATTGAAAGCATAAACTTGGTGGGGCGCCTGGGTGGCTCAGTCAGTTAGGCGACTGCCTTTGGCTCGGGTCATGATCCTGGGATCTTGGGATTGAGCCCCACATCGGGGTCCCAGCTCCGCGGGAGGCCTGCTTCTCCCTCTCCTACTCCCCCTGCTTGTGTTCCCTCCCTCACTGTGTCTCTCTCTGTCAAATAAATTAAAATCTTAAAAAAAAAAAAAAAGAAGAAGAAACTTGGTGATTTACCAGTATCTGAGTTAGCTTCCCGAAACTGAAGGTATTGGCTAGAACTTAATTGAACTTTGAGAATATGTATATGTAACATACCTAATATTTTATACACAATGCGATGAGCCAGTATGTTTTACATTTTATAGTTGCAGTAATATCCTCAATTGATAACAAAGCGTAGTAGTGATGACATGGTATTTTTAATATGATACTATTGAGATTATGTTTTCTGATGATATTAATTGCATATTTTTTGCTCATCACGTTTCCTTTGCTATGTTTAAGAGAAAGCAAATGCTTTAATGTATGTAGTGGCATTTAAAGTAGAATCTACCTTGTTGCTAGAGTAATTATTGTCATATTTTGAATTATATGGTTAAAAATATGATCATTTTGTAACTTGAAGAGAGATTGTTAGATTCAGAGAATTTATTAGATGGTAACTCTTTCAAAATATTGTTTAAGAAAACAGAAATTGAATGTAAAGTTGACCAGGATGACATCTCTGAAGAAACCTAATTTAGCCATCTTGACAAAAGGAAGAAAGTGAGAATATAGGAAAAAAAAAAAATCAACTTTTGTTTACATTTTTCTTTTACTAGCTTTCCAGGAATTTTTGCTATTTGTAGGTTATTTGAGCAACCACGTTAGGAGGGCTTTGCTGGCCTTCATGCTATCTTGCGTAGATTTTTTATTATCCTTTATTTGGATGTATGTGGGAAACTTTTCCCCATATTGTATTATTTTTTAGCAGATTATTTTGAGAATGTGTACCTTGGAAATTGATTTAATATTTTTCTAATATTGTTTTCTAAATTACTCTTGAAACTTCCACTTAAAAATGTAGGGTTTGATGGGACATGATGGCTTGCCCGGTCAGCCTGGAACACCAGGATCTAAGGTAAACAAAATGAAACTAAATAAGATAGAAAACTTTATGGAAAATGATCATTTATGTACTCAGGAAAACTTTTAACTATACTGATTTTATTTAAATGTGGTTTTAATTCTATGAACAGTCATTTGTAAGAATGAAATCTTAGAACAAAAACTAAGCATATAAAAACAGCCTGATGTAAAGCAGGTCTGGTTTAAGCAGGAAAACGTCCGGAATCTCTCACTACTTGAGCCCCTCCTCCTCTCTCATCATCCCAGGGGCACTGAGGACTGTGTAGAGTTGTATGGAGTTTGGTGCCAAACCCCACCAAATGGAGAGGGTTAGTAGTTAGGATTGAGAGTAACTTTTTACCAGTTCCTGAGTCATCATCTTGATATTTTTATTTGGTAGAATGTATATGGAATTTTTGTTGTAAAATGCCTTGTCATGGGTTTTATTAGGCATTCTCTCCTTCAGAACTGTGGGTAAGATAGTATATTATCTTTACTTTCATTTTTAAAAAATGTCAGGCAAGCCTGACAAGTATGTTTAGGATGTCAGGTTAGGTTATTCTCAAGATAGAACTGATACTCTGAATACCATGGTTGGACCATTTTCTATGTATATGGAATCCTGTGCTAAGACAGCTATTTTTTTTTTCTTTGTTTATTAGAGGCTCAAATCAAGTATGTTCTGGCTAGACTCAAACTATTCTCAACTATTTAATGGTAGAATGTAGGACAACCTTACAAAAGGAAATGATGGAATTGCTCTTTTGGAAGAATTAAACCTTTAACTAGACGTTGTCCCATGGGAATAGACCCTGGGATACAAAACGAGTAGATGAGTAGATGACCTAATCTATTCTACTTTTAATTTCAAAACTACTTAGAGAAAGAAATAGGATAAAACATCATGGGAGCCCAGTGATGAGGGAAAAGTAGCTGCCTTTTCACCAGTGGTGGATCCTTGTGAATCCTTGGAGTATTGTGTGTCCTAGCAGTAGTAAGTATGCACAGAATTGGTATAAAACCCTTACCAAGTGGAGATCCTGCACAATATCTCAAAGTCATTTTCTAAGAAGATACAGAGTTAAGAAGATATATAGTAGGGCGCCTGGGTGGCTCAGTTGGTTAAGCGACTGCCTTCGGCTCAGGTCATGATCCCGGAGTCCCTGGATCGAGTCCCGCATCGGGCTCCCTGCTCGGCAGGGAGTCTGCTTCTCCCTCTGACCCTCCTCCCTCTCATGTGCTCTCTCTCATTCTCTCTCACACAAATAAATAAAGTCTTAAAAAAAAAAAAAAAGAAGATATATAGTAGTTGTAATTGGGGTACAGTGGACTCCCCCGTGGTGTTCTGGATGCTCTAATTCTTATGAATTCAGCCTAAGATTTCATCAGCTTGTTTTTATCAACCACTTCACATTGTTAGCTCACACTGAACTAGGGGTCATTAAATCTGCTGGAATTTTCATAAAGAGTTTAGAACAATACTGTATGGCATCCACCACTTGAGTAGATTCTGCTGATATGGCTGGGAAAGCTGATATGGCTGTTTCCAGGATCAGTTTGCTTATTTTTACATGAATTACTGTAAAGTTTGTTTTCTCTCATCTTGTACTTGTGCAATTATTTTGTTAAAAATAGATTCAAAGTGTTAAAATTATACCTCTTGAATGTAATCTTTTCAGTGAGACACTTCAACTCTTTTTCATGTAGTATATTAGCTCAGGTGTTCTGCAAAAGGCCAGATAGTAAATATTTTAGTCTGAGAGCCATGTAGCTTCTGTTGCAACTTCTCAACTCTGCTATTATATTGCAAAAGCAGCCATGGACTAACTGTGTGGGATGTGCCTGTGTTCTGGCAAAACTCGATTTACAAAACCATGCATTGGGCTGGATTTAGCCCATGGGCCATAGTTTACTTACCTCCATGTTAGTTTATCTCTGCCTGTTTTGTCAACTAGTAAGTTTGTCAACTCTGCCTTCAATATCAATTGGTATGAATTTTAGGGTGGGACAAAAAAGTTGTATTAAATAGGGCAAGGACAAGGCTGAAACTCTATGGTGAATCTTTAGAAAACATCTAACTTGGTTTATAATACCTTTTTTTTTTTAAAAAAGCCATTAAGCCATACTATATTCTAGTTTTAAAAATTGTTATCTAAATGACATTAAGATATGTTAACATAATCAAGTCCTGTAACTGTAACTTGCAGCAAGTCTTGTCACCTCTGTGAATTTCTGCTTAATCACTTGTAAAAGTAGAAATTTTATGGAACCATTGTTCAATGGCTTAATAATGCTGTTACGTGCTGAATGCTTTAAGTCCAAATATTGTGTTCATATGTTTCAACATGAGCAACCTAGAAAACTTTTCAAAAGCTGAAAATGAAGTTGATTACCTTTACTTATTAGTACACCCAGTTTGGCTCTTGCTTTTGCCAGACATAGACTAGATTGGGATTTTAGGTATCAAAGTATATTTGAAAACGAACACTATCTTTGACAGTCTCCCCTTATTAGCCAGCAGATGTGTTCTCTCTATATATACCCAACCCCTTTTATATTTTTATATTCTTTGCCCTGTCAAGTTGGTCTTGCCCTCCCAGCTTCTATTAGAAAGGACTGCACTCGAATCCTGAAAAAGAACACGAAGTAAACATTTTCTGATTCATATTTTTTCAAAAAAAAAAAAAGCCACTGTACATTTGAAGCTAATTTTCTTTCCGTCAGTTGCATGCTGAAGGTGAGTCATGCTGAGAAAATGAAACAGGGCAAAGATGAAGATTCTCAGTGTATAGGACGTTGTTAAAATACATGGCTCTGGTCTGTGGAGTATGGAGACCCAGCTAATTAGCACTGGTTCCTGAGGTTTCGTAGCTTGTCCCTTACTTGTAGCTGCTAGCTTTAAAACATGCTTTTAGAAAGCTTTATAAATATGGGGACTCATTCCTTGCCCAAGAGAGTTTTTCTTAATAAGTAGGCTTAACATACAGAGTCTATGTTTCAAACAGTTGGAGAGTTGAAAATGTAAAAATTATTTTAAATGTATTCTCTTAAGTGTTTATATCAGATACATTGTGACTATATTTTTTAAAATTCAAATGGTTTGATGCATTGACAGGGAAATAAAGGTGAACCTGGACTTAAAGGGATGACTGGGGCTTCTGGACTAAAGGTAATTATCATTTGAGGCATTTGCAAATATATTCAAAGAATTGTAAGTCCCCTTCATTATTTGATGTATCCCTTAAGAAAAGTTATATGAAATGAAGGATTATCTATATTACAAAATTAACAAACATGAAGGAAAATGGCCAATGCGAGATTTCATTTGTCTTTTGGACACTTTATCATAGTTTGGGTTAACAGACATAAACTACCCTTTGGCTTGATTTTGCTAGAAATGGTAAAAGCCATATGCTAATATGAACCTCCTCTTTGGTCCAGAGAATATCACTGTCTTCTGTAACTGAAGGAAAGTGTGTGTGGCTCTCACAAGTGGTGCTATTTTTTTTTGTATGCTGATTGAAGGGATTTAGTGTGGGGTCTCAGAGCCCTTTATACCAGTTTCCTCCAAACCAAGTGGTTGATGTTTATTTCAATAGGATTTTCAAATCTCTTCAAGCCTTTAACAATCTCCAGTAATATTCAACAGTTCAGGAATGGGCATAATAAGTAAAGAGGACAAAGCTCTTTCCACAAAAGAGAGTAAGCTTTAGTTGATGTGATAGAGTTTGAAATTAATGGTAAAACGCAAACCAAAAAACCATGAAGCAAGTTCAGGATTCCATCCTATATCTTACAGATATGACCTAAATGTCATTGACACATCATCACTATAACTTTCAGAAAATTTCCTTATGTAAGACTTTTAAGCAATCTTTATTTCATAAAGGAAATAATCCCTTGGGATTATCCATGGGATGATGGAGAGTGGAGGAATTAAGTTGTGGAATATTACCTGTACTGGAAATAGCTCAAGAATTTACTTCTAAAAAACAGTATTCCTTACGTACAAAGAAAAAAACATGAGTGTGTTTACTATTTAGTTACAAAGATGTTCACCCCAATATTGTTTATGAAAATAAAAATGGTGAAAACTAATGTTTAATAATTGGCATTTTATTAAAACAAATATGGTAAATCAATACAGTTAAGTACTATTCTGTATTTAAAATTATGTTTTAAAAACATAACGGCATATGAAGAACATCGCGGTATTAATATATTTTGTGGTAAAAGACATTCTAAAATGAAGCATGCATACTGAGCAAATCTTAGTAACTAAATTGTTCATTGTGTGCTTGTGAGAGGTAGAGAGAAAATCTATAAAAAGCAAAAACAGTAATGAGATTTTCAGTAATTTTAGTTCTATTTACTCACCAGTTTTGTAACAATAAAATAGGTTCTTTAAAGTAGCAATATGAGAATAAGCAGTTTCAAGGAAGAAGAGAAAGTTAATAAAACAAAAGATACCTTTGTTTATTATCACTACTTTATTATTTACTTTCTGGTTGAAGCTATGAAATAAAATAAAAATGACAAAGATTTATAAAATTTTAAAACATTGCTATCAGAATAATTTAACTAGCAAAGATAGGAAAAAGTGTAAGAAGTGTTATCAGGACTCCAGTTATCTTTTCATTCTTTACTATGTCTGCAGTAATAACTCTAAATGTCAACTAATTTTGTAACCATGGATTATAAATTGGAGATATATGTAGGGATAAAAACAGTGGTGTTTTTCATAAGCAGTAGGTTTGCAATCTTTATGTAATTTCTATGTTACCTAGGGAGAACAAGGAGCAGTAGGTCTCCCGGGAGAACCAGGATACCTGGGTTTACCTGGAATTCAAGGAAAAAAGGTATGCATTATTTAGGAGATATAATTAACTTTTAATCAGCTTTTTAGCATGTAAGTCTTCCTTTTGTGAAAGTATCATAGTAGGACTGATTATACTTTTAACGATAAGCTGACTTTTATATTTGTATATGTATGATCTGATCCACACCATGTCCATAGCTGTGGTATCTTTCATGTCCCTATATGGGTATGGTCTCCTAGATGAAGGCCTTGGATGAGGCATGCAGCTCAGAAAATGGAAACATATCCTTAAGTAATATCCTCTCAGTTCAGATTGCTTTGCTGTCAGTCCACATGAATCAGAATTTTGTAGGAAAAGTATTCCATGTCAGGCATTCTTACCGAAATGTAAACATTACTGTTACCAAAACTGGGGCAAAAGTGTAAAAAGATAAAAATTACACCCAGAATGTTTGACCATGAAGTTCCTATTTATGAAAGAGTGTATTACATAGAATTTCATTTAAAATGAATTTGAGTTTAAAATACAAATCATGTATACTGATGTAGAATGATTTGGTGAGAGAAGAGAGCAACACTTTAGGTTCATTCTCTCTCAAGTAAAGGAAGGCTGAAGCTATATCTATATAAATATTATTTGGGGGTTTTAAGACACAACTAACTGCCCATTTGTCACAGAAGTCAATCCCACTGCAAATACATACATTTCAGGATAAAAGTAAATATCCTGGCTTTTATTCTGGAAAGGATACTAACTTACATCTTCATCTATATATCCCTTGCTGTTTTAGTTTTTCTACCATTTCAATTTTCTGTTTCTCATGTGTTATATACTTGGCCCCTAGGTTATTATAACTAGTATGATCCTTGACCTTTTTTTTCCATTAAGCAGCTGGTAACACAGGAGAGACAGGGATGACACTTAGCAGCAATGAAGTGTTAGAAACTTAGTGCATATTAAGTAAACCTGTGAATATATGTTTGGATTTAGAGAAATTTAGTGTTCAAAACTTGCCCTTTAAAAGATCACCTATATTTTGTTTGTTGTAAACACAAAACTCGCTCTTTGTTTAGAGAGCATGGTAAGGTAGAAAAGAAATTTGGAAACAGTGTCCAGGTTCATCTTAGGGCAAGTGCTTATCTTTCTTGATTTGCAGATTCATTATATTAATTCATATTCATATTCATGTCCTTGTAAGAACCAGGACATTGAATTAGTTGATCTCGAATATCTCCTCTAGCTGAAAAAATCCTAGGATTTTTATTTTTATTCTGGAATATGGATATCCCCCCAAATTCATTTTTGAAGCATATGTTTTCTAAAATACCATTTCAACATAATATTCTACTTCATTGCGTCCTATAAATGTGTGGCTACAACTGGCTCAATGGAAGATTTTCAGTTTGATTTAATAAAGCAACAGTTGTCAAAATGAGTTTTCTCATGTTTGTTTAACCTCAGATGGTGGTCAATACAGAAAATTGTCTTATTCCTGGTAAAATAGAAATTGTAGTCAATTTTCCTTTCAAATGTAAGAGCACAAGACAGTGTTCATTTAGAACATCATTTTGACATAATACGATTTTACTCTCTTCCCAAATACTGTTTTGGAATCAGCTTCTGCTTATAACTTGTGGAATTTGTATGAGACCAAATATTTTTTTCTTGTGGAAAAATGTTTATTTGAAAGGATACAGAAGATCCTAGATTATGCTAAACATTAAACTGCCTTTTTTGCAGGGGGACAAAGGAAGTGAAGGTGAAAGAGGCATTCAGGTATGTTGCTGGCTTTTTTATTTTTGTTTGACAATAAAATCAGGGCTTTGCTCTTTTTAGTTCTTACGTGGTTTCCAACTCCTTCCTGTTTTGCCATCAGTATCTAATTGTTAATTCCCAGCTTTCTTCCTGTCTTCTAAACATTTTAGTCATCATCAAATCTCATTTTAAGATTCTTCTTCACTTCAGTGTTGTAGAAAACTTGGGAACCAAATAGTTCAACAAAAACAGTTATAGATTTTATTACATTACTTCTAATATCTTTATTTATATATTTATGGAAAGTATGTATGTTTCCAGAAATGCTTTGAAATGGCTTATGGCACAAATCAATTCGAAAAGAAACCATTAACACCAAATATAAAACATGTTCAAACTAACAGATGGAAGGAGAATTATACCACAAAATTAAATCAGGCTGAGGACATCTAATGATTTAGAAGCATGTTTCATTTGGCTGTCTTAGCAACAAAGGCAAAGAACTCTAGAATTTCTGGAGGCATAAAAGGAAATTACAAATTGAAGTAATAGTAGAGTTAGACTCTACTAAGGTTAGAGTCTCAACAATTGTTTTTCAACTGTTGATTCAATTTCTTTTACTGAAGATATTCAGGTATTATTATGATGTCTTTAAGTTAATTTTGAAATGAAGAGTGAGGCAAATTTTAAGGAAGTGTCTGTGAGGCTCTAAACCGACATATTCCAATTTCCTTCTTGGTACTGAGTTTGGATATCTCATGTGCACATCAACGTGTCCAAAACAGAACTTGTCACCTTTCCCCATAAACCATCTCCTACTCTGTTCTTTGTCATGGTAATTGGTAGCACTGTGTAATGACCTGAGGGGAAAAAGTCTTGAAAGTTATCTTAAAATTCATTCTCTTCTCTCTCCACCAGCAGTTTCACATCTAAGTCTCTCTGGAACTTGGCCCCTTCTTCCTGTCCACACTGTCCTAATCATTTCTTGTCATGGCTCTCAGATTACTGCAGTGTCCTCCTCACTGGTCCCTTGAGTGCAGTCTCCTTCCTTCCTCCCATGCTCCTACCAGCATGCAATAACTAAGCTACACATCTGCTCAGGAATCCTTCCGTGGTGCCCCACACATTTCAAGATAAAGTCTGTCCCGGAAAGTGCTTCCTTATTTGACTCTTTTTGGTCATTTAAGGTTGAGTCTTTTTCCCTACCCTATAAGATGCCCCTTCTGTCAGATACCCCTTCCTGTTCCGGTAGTATCCAGCCCAGATATTTAAGTATGCATTTTCATTATTCTTGATTTAATGGCTTATCTTTCCCACCACACAGTAAGCAACATGAAGGTAAACAATATCTTTGTTTCAGTGTCCCTCTGGGCCAGCAAATAGGTGTCACTCAATAAATATTAGGAATTCACTTAAGTAAGTGAATAAATCACGATGCAAGAGTGATTTAAAATTTAAGTCACTAGATCATTCATTGATTATATTACCTAGGTATTTGTTTTCCTAGAAATTGCTAATTATCTTGTCCAACATAGGGATGAAGTAGTGCTTTAGGGGCTAGGACCATGTATTATATATGATGGATATCCAAAAGTATTTATTAAAGGGACAAATGTGTTTATATCTTTATTAATTTTCCTCTCTTATTTGTCCTGATTTAAAGATCTTCATGCAAAATGTTTTCTATGGTACTCATCATACTGAAGTATAATTGACATATAATAGTATATGGTTGACCCTTGAACAATGTCGGTTTGAACACCCCAGTTCCACTTAAATGCAGTTTTTTTTCAATAAATATAGTACAGTATCATAAATGTATTTCTCTTTGTTACGATTTTCTTAACATTTACTTTTCTCTAACTTAATTGTAAGAATAGGATATATTACATATAACATACAAAAGATGTATTAATTGATAGTTTATATTATTCATAAGGCTTCTGGTAAACTGTGGTCTATTAGTAGTTAACTCTGGGGGGAGTCAAAAGTTATACACAGATTTTTGACTTTGAGGGAGGTTGGTGCCCTCAACCTCTGCATTGTTCAAGGGTCAACTATATTGCAGGTGTACAACATAATTATTCAAAATTTGTATACACTGTGAAGTGGTCACCACAATAAGTCTAGTTACCATCTATCACCCTACATAGTTACAAATTTTTTCTTTTGATGAAAACTTTTGAGAATCACTCTCTTAGCAACTTTCAGATATACAATATGGTGTTATTAACTGTAGTAACCATGCTATACATCCATCCCCAGGACTTCTTTATTTTATAACAGGAAGTTTATGTCTTTTGACCCCCTTCACCTATTTCACCCACACCCCTCCATTCTGGCAAACATTATTCTGTTCTCTGTATCTATGAGCTTAGGTTTTTTGGTTCGGTTTGGTTTGTTTGTTTTATTTTGTTAGATTTCATGTATAGGTGAAATCATACAATGTTTGTCTTTCTCTGATTTATTTCACTTTGCATAATGCCCTCATGTTCCATCCATGTTGTCACAAATGGCAAGATTCCATTTTTCAAAATATATGAGTAATATTCCACTTTGTAGTGTATTTTTAATTTTTAAAAATTCCTTTAAAGATGTCTTCTTGTCTTGGCATGTGTATAGTCAGCACTGAACATAGTTATGTCATTGAAATTAACAAAATGTCCACAGCCATTGGATTTTTAAATTATTTTCATGTTGTTAATATTAGGGTTGATTTTTTTTTTTCTTCCTCTGAGAGACTTCTTCCTCTCTTGCATCATTTTATATATTTGCATCACTGGTTTGGTGACATTTCTTCTTAACCACAGGTTAATACATAGTTTGTGTCTTAGTTGTGATTGCATTATATGTGTGCAAGCTAATCAATAATTTTTATTAAATTTTAAAGGGCCAAAAGGGAGAAAATGGAAGAGAAGGGATCCCGGGGCAACAGGTATTTTTGTTTTCCCTGATGGTCAATGAAATAATGAATCACATAACTGGATGGTGTTGGGAGCCGGTTACTTGCAAATGGAAATGAGTGGGAAGAACGGCAGATGTAGTACACACTCTAAGCACGCGAGGAAGAAAATGTCAGGTGGTGATGCTGATAATGGTTGGCTTTAGTCATTTGCCTTATATTTTCATTTTTCTGTACTGATTGGTGACGGTTATACTTGCTTTTCCATGCTTTTTTCTGGTCAAGTGAATGGCTGTCTTGGAATAGTTATTGGCCAAAGGCAGCCATCCAATGGCAGTATCTCCGTATCTACTGTTCAGTCTTGATTTATTTCTTGACATGCGAGTAGTTGAAGCCTGTTAGGAGGGGAGGAAGGTACTTGTTTCCCTCTTATGGGTTCAGAGATAGAATTTACTACGCTGGAGATTAATTAGATACTATCTTGAGGGACTGTGTTACGGAATAGATTCATAGTAAAATTGTTTTGCTTCTTCCCTGTCTAGACTCTCCTCACTAAGTAGTGTTTGTAGTGAGATTGCCATATGGCCTGCAAGTTCAGTCAGAGCTAAATGGGGCCAAAAGAGGCCTACAAATGATTTGTACTTGATGTAGTTTGCGTGCTGCTGAATTGCTGAGAGTTGAGCTCAGATCCAACTTGGTCCACACTTGGAAGGGCAAAGTGTACACATGAGTCCCCTGGTGGGGTAGACCTCTTTCAAATGTGACATTCAAGAGATTCAGTAATTACACTGGTTCTGAAGAGAGGGGGATAAAACTGAGTGGTGTCTTTGAGGACAGAGGTCCCTGTGTCCCTCAGCTGGAGAAGTGAGAGACCATGGGGGCGAGGTCTGAAAGCATATGGTCACAAGGTTATCTATAATAGAGGATGGAAGGTTAGTGCTGGTATTAAGGAGACTTGAGAATTTAGAAGCTAACACCAAGAACAGAAGTAACTAAGAGGAGAAATGGCCCGACTTTGCCTGCATACAACTATGTTCAATAAAATGTGTCTTTTGATTTTGATGCTCCTCCACTTGACTCCGATCCTCTTGATGATACAGCCAGCTCTGTCCCCCTTCTCCTCACAGACAACACAGACTTGCCCCCTTGGTTTCCCTGAGTTAATCACACAATATGTTTAAACAGCTGTACTCATAGGAGGACCTTCACCTCTTCATCCATTCAACCTCTGCAACTCAAGCCTTTCCCCCCAAATTCTTACAGTAACTGTCTGAAAAGAAGGTTATTTCCTGTCGAGTCTGAGCTCCCAACTTCGCTAGGTCACTGGCTTCCGGATGACACTCTCCACAGTTCCCTTAACATGTTTTCTTTTCTCCCTCACTTCTCAAGGGAAAGAGCGGTCTGCTCCCTGGGCAGGATTTGAGTTCCCTAGAAAGCTTCTGCCCTAGATTTGTTGGCCGCTGCATTTCTCACCACCAGGAACTCTGAGCCCTCAGGGAGTACCTGGGGGTCAGAGCAACTCTTGCTTTTCAGCAGCCGAATAGTTGTCCCAAGCTCTTTAAATAAACAGTACTAGTTACCTGTCATTTTACCAAGTGCTGCAAGTGTGTGATTTCTTGGCTTTTGTGTTGTGTTTCGCTCATGAGATCATCCTGGTGGATTCTCAGATGACAGCTGTTTTCAGTTTCAGCTCTAATTCAGTTCTAGTTGTGCAAACTGAACTCTCTTCTTACCCAAGCTACCGGTTGTAGGGTTATGTCTGGTAGGGAACACCCCTGCGTTTCTTCAGAAACCTCAATATTTAAAGAATAGTCTTACAGTGTTTTACTTGCTATATTTACATGAAAACTTGGTGTTTTTATGCTCTCATTTTGATTTGAGAATCTGCCTTTCTCTGTGCCATACATGGATTTTTCCCTAATTTGTCTTCCCTTTTGTCTAATCTGGGTATCTTTGTTCACGGAACCTAGAGATGAAGCCAAATAAATATTCAAACGCAAAATATATAGTGTGAAATGTTATATGCTAAATTTTGTATTGAATTGTGGAACACCCTTTCTAATTGTAAAGTTGAATCATGAAATCCTGCCTGTGTACGTGTGAGCTCCACCCTTGTTCCTGAACTGGTATGGGGTGAGTTTAGAGCCTGAGTGTACAAGGAATTTCAAAAATGGGAAATTCTAATGCCTTTCTTGAAAGTTCTTATCACCTGTAATGTGTCATTGTAACGAACTCCCAACTAGAAGTGGGAAGTAATTTAATAGAGCCATCTAGATGCATTCAATGATTGTAACGGTGGGTGAGTTTCCTGTGTGGGCTCCCCAGGGTGTGTATCACTTGGGGAAGAATACCATTTATACCTCACATGGCTTTTCTAATCTCTGAATTACCAGCTGTGAATGGTTTAGGTATAGGACAGATGGGTATTTTCTTCCCTAGTAATCATTTTGAATGGCATATTTGCTTTAACTCATCTTTTACAAATAGTACTCAATTGAAATTTAATTTTAAGAACATAAACTTGGGAAAATAGAACATTTAATCACCAAATAAAAGACTAAATATATCTTACCTGATTTGAGTTTAATTTCCATTAAAGTAGTAACGTATTTAAAAATCAGAATAGAATTTAAATAGAATTCAGCTAGAATCCCATTCTAACCTACATATTTGACCTGCATATATAAAAATATTCATATCTAAGAATGAAATAGTTACATAAATTCACATTTTCCTATTACCCAGTTAGCATATTGCCTAGTCATTAGTCTCCTTTAAAAAGACAAAAAAGGTGATGGCCCTTGAATGGGCGGGACGTGGCCGGATCAAAAGTGCGCAGCGTCGCAGTTGGTACATGCTGTGACGGCTGGGGTTGAATGTAGCGCTTGGTGATCTTTCCTCTTTTCTTCTATCATTCGCCTCAGAAGAGAACAGTCACCACACTCATGGCAGGGATTTTGCGCTCCATAGTTCAGAGGCCCCCAGGCAGACTCCAAACTGTGACAAAGGTGTGGAGTCTCTTATTTGCACGGATTGGATTCATCACAAATTTACCAAGTCAAGAATTCCAGATAAAGTATTTCAGCCTTCACCTGCAGATCATGAAAAATATGGTGGGGATCCACAGCACCCTCATAAACTGCATATTGTTACCAGAATAAAAAGTACAAAAAGACGTCCATATTGGGGAAAAGATATAATAAAGATGCTTGGATTAGAAAAAGCACATACTCCTCGAGTTCACAGGAATATCCCTTCAGTGAACGCAAAACTGAAAGTGGTTAAACATTTGATAAGGATCCAGCCCCTGAAGTTGCCCCAAGGACTTCCAGCAGAGGAGGACATGTCTAACACGTGCCTCAAGAGCACTTGGGAATTAGTGGTGCGGTGGCATCTAAACCCCATAGGCCAGGAAGCAGTTAAATCCTAAGGCCAGAGCAGTTTCATATTAAAAAATGTAAATCATTTTTATTTAAAGGTAGTGAGAAAGTGTTCTCATTAAAACATATTTTAGATACTAGTCCTTTTCACTGGCTAAAAAAAAAACACAAAAAACCAAAAAAGGTATCATGTGTAATTCTTTCACTGATTCTATCAGTACTTTTCAAATTAAAAACTAAAGTTTGATTAAACCTGTGGCAAAAAGTGCATGCCACATTTCTAGTACTGTACCTTGCACAGTTATTATAGTTTTTTTTCCTATTAATTTTCAAAGGGAATTCAAGGCCATCATGGTGCAAAAGGAGAGGTATGTTTCTTCATGTCTTATGCTCTCTTTTCAGTCCTTATTGCTTCAATTTTCAATGCTGTATAAATCTAGCTATTGACATCACAAACAAAATGCTTTTCATGTTCTTCAGTTCTTAAATAGTGATTTTCATAATATGTGGATTCATTGAATTAGTTACGAAATGTTACATATTTGTGAACATTAATGGTTCTTCTAGATTAGGAGCTCAGTTTTTTCCTGCATATATTCAACAAAGAACATGGTGTTTCTGTATTTGTCTCTTTAGAATTTAAACTCTTTGGGAACAGGACTGTGTCATGTTTGCTGTTTCTCTGGCACTAAACGTATTGCCTACACAATACGCTCAATGAAGAGAGGATATCTTTGGAGTTGGGGGGATGGGTGGATGGATAAATATATGAAGTTTCTCTTCTGATTAATAACAGCATTTCACAGCTGTTCCCTATATAATGTACATCATATATACCTATGTATATAGTCATATGCATATCCTTAAGGAATTCTGTGATGCAATTATACCTTCTGAAACATTTAAATAGAGCTTTTAAAGATTTCTTCTGATTTCAGAGAGGTGAAAAGGGAGAGCCTGGTGTCAGAGGTGCCACTGGACAAAAAGGAGAGTCTGGGATGGACGGCCTGATGGGGCCTGTGGGTCCCCAGGGGCAGCGTGGGGTAGCAGGTCCTCAGGGACCTCCAGGATTGGATGGGAAACCTGTACGTATTCTGCTTCTTCCATAGTTCTTGTGTTCTCATTGCTTTTTACTTGGTATGTACATGTTATAATGCCAAATAATTTGATGCAGGGGAGAGAATTTTCAGAACAGTTTATTCGACAAGTTTGCACTGATGTATTAAGAGGTAAGTCTCAAACAGATTTTATTTCTTTTAAAGATTTTTATTTATTTGACAGAGAGAGACAACATGAGAGAGGGAACACAAGCAGGGGGAGTGGGAGAGGCAGGCTTCCCGCGGAGCAGGGACCCCGATGTGGGACTCGATCCCAGTACCCTGGGATCAGGACCTGAGCCGAAGGCAGACACTTAACAACTGAGACACCCAGATGCCCCTCCAACAGATTTTAATAACTTTAAAGTTACTAAAGTAGTACAGATTCTTGGTAGAAATTATAAAAGATATAAGTAAGATAAGAAAATAAAGGACATTTATAAACCCGTTTTTTTTCTAGATGAGTATGTTTATGAAGATGAAAATTATATGTTCTCTTTTGTAATCTTTTTAATAAAGAAATTTATCATGATTTCACTGTGAATTAAATTTTCTTTTCTGACATAATTCTGAAAATTTAACTCATAAATATGGATGTCTTCAATTTGCCAGTTTCTTTTTTGAGGTTTGTTTTCACTTTTCCCTCCCATTTTAAGCAATTGCTACAATAAAATGATGACACAGACCATTGAGTATTTCCAGAGTTAAATTCCTAGAAGTGAAATTATTGGTCAACAGACCAATTGGCATCTGTAAATTGTAAAAAATGAGTAGAGATGTTACTAATGCACATTTGCCATTTAAACATAAGGGGTGGGACTTCTTTGTTTTTAAGCTCAGCTACCAGTCTTACTTCAGAGTGGAAGAATTCATAGTTGTGATCATTGCCAGTCCCAGCACGGTTCCCCTGGTATTCCTGGGCCACCTGGTCCCATAGGCCCGGAAGGTCCTCGAGGATTTCCTGGTTTGCCAGGAAGAGATGGTGTTCCTGGGTTAGTGGGTGCTCCTGGACGTCCAGGTGCCAGAGGATTAAAAGGTACTTTATGTGCATAAGCAAACAAACAATAAAAAAGGGTATGGTTTGTATTCACCCTCTAAACTGATTTAATAGGCAAGGGTTCATCTTTGTTTTTATGATGACAGAAAGCTCTTGTATACTTCAGTCTCTAAATAATTTGTCAACTAGTTAAGCAAATTTTCTATTTTCTTAAAGCAATATTCTGAAGTAGAGAAAGGTTAAAGTTTAAAGCTTGTGAAGTGACAAATTAGAAAACGTTGACAATGCACTTAGAGATTTTTCCTGAGTCTTTAAGAAGGTCTTTAAATAGAAAGACACAGACACTATTTCCTTTATTTTGACCTCAGTAACTTCTGTTACCTTATTGAAAAGGTTTTTTTCTCTTACAGGAAAAATTATGTTTTGCAACCAAACTTCCTAATGGTCCACAACTTCTCTGTCTTTGAATGTTTATATGAAATGTCATTTGATAATACTTCCCTTTTCAGTTACTATTATATGAACAATTTAGATGTTCAATCACAGTAATAAACAACTATGATTACGAGAAAGGGCTAATAATCTCAAGCCATTTTCCTTTTTAATATGTAATCCTTGTTACATCTTTCTAGATCACTGATAATTTTAGAAATTTTTGCTTCAAAAATTCCATTTCCCATGAGAAATAATAAATGGCAAGCTATTTTTAAAAGATTTATTTTTCTGTCAATGTGTGTATGAACAGCTTTGAAAGAAACAATCTAGGAGGAAGTGATTTTATAGGAAAAGTAAGCTTACTCCTGTCTTTGACACTCTGCAGGTCTACCAGGAAGAAATGGGGCAAAAGGGAACCAAGGGTTTGGGTACCCCGGAGGACAAGGTCCTCCTGGTCCCCCAGGTAAGACTTGTTATATGCTCATAAGTGTTGCTGCACATTTGGCTTTAAGAAAATCATCACCAACCTATGTCAAAAAATTTAAAATCAAGACATTTGTTTCCTTTTTTGAATGTTTCACATTCAACACATTGAGCTCTAACTCCTAGACTTTTCTTCCTCTATCATATTCATGAATCACTCAGGATTTTCTCTTGTTTATCATTTGGATGCCTTAGAAAACCACTCTGTAGATTAGTTCTTGAATGGTTTTAGTCACCCATGTTTATCTAGTGTGTATCACTGTTCAATCTTTGATTCTCAAGAAAGCAGAATAACTGAATGGAGGACTCTTAAGTCACCCTCTGCTAGCTATGTTGTTTTTTTTTTTTTTAAAGATTTTATTTATTTGACAGAGAGAGACACAGCAAGAGAGGGAACACAAGCAGGGGGAGTGGGAGAGGGAGAAGCAGGCTTCCTGCGGAGCAGGGAGCCCGATGCAGGGCTCGATCCCAGGACCCCGGGATCATGACCTGAGCTGAAGGCAGTCACTTAACGACTGAGCCACCCAGGTGCTCCTAGCTGTGTTATTTAACTTTGTTATGCCTCCGTTTCCTCATTTGTGAAATGGTGATGAGATGTTATGTGCCTCATGACATTATTGGAAAATGATGTGAGTTAATACACGTAGGGCATTTGGAACAGTGCATAACAATCATGTTTTCTTTTTTCTTTTTTTTTTTTTTAAAGATTTTATTTATTCATTTGAGACAGAATGAGAGAGAGCACATGAGAGTGGGGAGGGTCAGAGGGAGAAGCAGACTCCCTGCCGAGCAGGGAGCCCGATGCGGGACTCGATCCCGGGACTCCAGGATCATGACCTGAGCCGAAGGCAGTCGCTTAACCAACTGAGCCACCCAGGCGCCCTCATGTTTTCAATAAATGTACTATTTAAAGATTTTATTTATTTGAGAGAGGGAGAGAGAGCACGCATGCGAGAGCATGCACGAGCAGACTCCCCGCTGAGCAGGGAGCCTGATGCTGGGCTTGATTGCAGGAGCCTGAGATCATGACCTGAGCCAAAGTCAGATGCTCAACTGGCGAAGCCACCCAGGTGCCCCTTATTATTGTAGATGTTATTACCTCAAGAAGCTTTTGAGTGGGTCAAGGGATTCAACAGTCTTTATGTAAAATACTTGGAACAGTATCTACAGTTGTAGTTAAGTGCTAAATAAATGTTTCTTAGTAATAGCAGCAGGAATGATTAGTAATAGTGCCTCAGACTACTCTGCCCCATTTCAAAAGCTGAATATTTTGTTCTTTTGAGTCATCAACTTTTTAAAAGGCCAAAATCCTACGTTAACTCTCCTTCCTTTGAGCATGCTAATTGAACTAATTAGGCAATGATTCACAAATGAGTGCTATCACACCTTTGTGTGTATGTTGATCACAATTATTGCATGGTAGTGACTGTATTTAAGTGTGGAAACTTAAAAATGTGTCTAATGAGAATAGTCATTTAACTGCAAATATGGCACAAAAGTGACAGTAAAGTTTTAGATCACTGATCTGTTCACTTGCAAATTTATAATGATATTGACAGAAGATATGCTGGAAGGAAGAAATGTTTGGGCAGCCCACCAATTAAAATATTAGAATGTTAGCTCTGTGTCCTAATCAGCATGATTGCTATATTAATATAGCTTAGCCCAGTTTTATAAAAATTGCTGATGATTTTTGAATAGTTCTTTTCCACATGGGAGGTATATAGGATTAGCAAGAGAGTCCCCCCTCTTTTCACATCTGTGCAAATACGTAAAACTTAAAAAAATTTTTTTTTCAGTTTAAATTTCTTACAGAATCAGCTCTATCATCATCAACAACCAAACTCCTCTGTTCATATATTGCTCATGTCCCATCTTAGGTCCGGAGGGCCCTCCTGGAATAAGCAAAGAAGGTCCTCCAGGAGACCCAGGTCTCCCAGGCAAAGATGGAGATCATGGAAAACCTGGAATCCAAGGGCAACCAGGACCCCCTGGCATCTGCGATCCATCGCTATGTTTTAGTGTAATTGTCGGAAGAGATCCATTTAGAAAAGGACCAAACTATTAGTGTCTGATGCCTCACTCAGCAACCTAGGCATGGTGCTTTTCTCTTGTGGTCTTTTGCATCTCAGGAAGATAACAACAGTAATCCCTTGAAAAGGAACTAAAGTACCTCGGTGTTTTTATTATTATTTTTTTCTTAAGGAAAAATATATAAAAGGTCACATATACTGATTCTAGAGACCCTGCAGTAATTCAAGAGCCTTTAGATTAGTAGCATTAACTAAATCTCAAGGGTTTCTTGTAAGTCCATTTATTTTAATCAAAGTTGAACATTAAAAAAACCCGCCATTGCCTGTTACCAGTCAATTTCAGTCACTGTGAAATATTTCACATTCAGCCTCCATGCAGCAGAGTATTTGGGTTCAATTTCATGTCTGTGTGAATTTCATGTTTCATATCTCATAGCACATGCTTGTCACATTAGCCAAAACACATGTCTGGTGTCGTTGGAAAGAACATCAGGGCTGACACTCGGCTAGGACCGACTGTATTGCCACTTACTCCGGTGTCTGTCCTAACTGGGGAGGGACAGTGGACTGGTGGGTGTTCAGGGTTTTGAATGATCACCTCTGAATGAGATGAAAGTGTTCCTTAAGTACATGTGCAAACCCTCAAATTATGCTGAGAGACAGTATTGATTACATGGGGAATGGTCAAAATGGTGTCACGTTAAGAATATGTTAGAAAAAAGTTTCATTGTACCTGGTCAGTATGTTCCAAGGAAATGCAGGTTCAGGAATGCTAAAAAGACTTCATTCTTCACATTTGCTTAGTAATTGGAATGTTTGTTGTATGCCTTCATCTTCCATTTCACTTATTATATGTGTATGTTCCTATATGTTAACTTTGATTTGTAGCAAAGCTAATGGGAATAAATGCTCTAGTCAAAAGGAAAGATAACTCCACAGCTCCTAGTACATGTTGATATTTTTAGCAGACTTTAAAATATTATGAACAGTCTTTGTGTACTGTACTTACTGCTTTTGTAAGGCACATGTTTGAGATATTTCATCCTAATCATGCTCTAAATTTTGTTACATGCTTGTTACTCAAAGTACAATAAAGTTTTGTACAGGCCTGTTTGCCGTGGTTTCTTTTTTATACATAATTTGAACTGATGGAGGAGTATAGTATCCATATCCCATAGTCACTTATTCAGTGGATATACTTTATTATTTACCCTATTCTCTACAAACTTGTTCATCTGAAATAAGAACTTAGAAATTCGGTTGGTATGCTACTCACATAAAGATATGGTGCAGCATCTCCTTCCTGGCCCAAGAGTGGCTGTGGATCTGTGTTTAGTTTAACTGACGTGTCATTCTACCACTCTGATGAGGACCTCATAACATTCAGTAGCAGAGTTGACACAAGGCTTGTTTTTTGTTGTTTTTGCTTTTTTTATTGAAGTATGGTTGACACACAGTGTTACATTAGTTTCAGGTGCACAACATAGTGATTCAGCAGGTCTGTACGGTGTGCTGTGCTCGCCGTCTGTCACCACACAACGCTAAAACATACAGTGTAGCCACCGTCTGTCCCCATACGCTGCCGTAATGGTATCATCGACTGTATTGCCTCTGCTGTACCTTTCATCATTCCGTAACTAGGAGCCTGTATCTCCAACTCCCTTTCACCCATTTTTCCCATCCTCCCATTCATCTCCCCTCTGGCAACTATCAGTTTGTTCTCTGTACGTATAGGTATGTTTCTGCTTTCTGTTTGTTCATTTTGTTTTTTAGATGCCACACGCAAGTGAAATCATACGGTATTTGTCGTTCTCTGACTTATTTCACTTAGCATAATATGCTCCAGGCCCATCCATGTTGTTGCAAATGACAAGATTTCATTCTTTTTTATGGCTGAGTAATATTCCATTGCATATATGTACACCACGTCTTCTTGATCCATTCATCTATCAGCAGATGCTTGGGTTGCCTCCATAATTTGGTGGTTGTAAATAATGCTGCAATAAACGTAGGGGTGCATATGTCTTTTTGAATTAGTGTTTTTGTTTTCTTTGGGTGAATATCCAATGGTGAAATTATTGGATCATACAGTATTTCTATTTTTAATTTTTTGAGGAATCTCCATACTATTTTGTACGATGGTTACACCAATATACATTCCCACCAACAGTATACAAGGGTACCTTTTCTCCACATTCTTGCCAACACATTTTTTGTTGTTGTTGTTTTGGTTTTGTTTTGTTTTGTTTTTTGTCTTTTTTGTTCCAGCCATAGCATAAGGCTTATTTTGATGTTCTGTCACTCTGGGTATCTGCTTATGCCTAAGCCCCAGCTAATTATGGCAATACCTGTTAAGACAGTGGTAAAGGAGCAGAACAGGGTAGTTAGTACCTATTCATTCATTCAAGCACCATTGACCATGTGGCCTTTGAGTGGCAGGAACCGTGCCAAGGATACAATGGAAATATAGTTGCACTGTCTGGCCTGAGGTGGTTCCTGCGTAATGAGGTGCAGGGAAGTAAACAGGTGATTCCAATACATTCATTCTAAGAAAGAAGAAAACGCTATGGACTAAACTGTGTCTCTCCCAAATTCATATATGGAAACCCTAACTCCCCTGTGACCATATTTGGAAATAGGGCTTATGGGTGGTCATGCAGGTTAAATGAGGTCATAAGGATAGGGTACTAATCCTATAGGAGTGATGCCCTTATAAGAAGAGGAAGAGGGAAATCTCCCTTTCTACATGCATGCAGGAAGTGTCCTGTGAGCACACAGTGATAAGGTGACTGACAACAAGCCAGGAAGGTAGCCCACCTTGATCTTGGACTTCCAGCCTCTAGAATTGTGAGAAAATTACTTTTTGTTGTTTAAGCCCACCAGTCGTATACTGCCATAACAAAATAGCATTTTGTTATTTGCTGCCCAAGCTCATAGGAAAGATGTGAGGGTAGGGAAAAAAAATGTCCTAAAGCAAGCAAAGATTATAAACTGATATTTGAAAGGCTAGGAGGTATTAAACATAACCAAGTCATGTCAAGATAATGAAAACGAGTAAAGGCTGGGGGAGGGAGGGTGGTTAGAAAAAACATGGAGGATTCTGAGAATAAAACCCGTAGAATACAAACCATGTTACTTTTAGTATCCTTACTTTTAAAATTAATATTTCAAGGTGAAATATTTCTCTAGTTTATCATGGTATTTGTTATGTCCTAATATATTTTTGCCTTGGACAAATTTGAGATTAACCATCTTACACTGACTTTCAGAAATGAATAGGTGAATGATTTTGTCGTGCAAGGACAATATGCATTGTAATCGTGTGTCAGCACCATGCTACATGCAAACTCTTTCACTGTAGTTACAACGAGCATGGTTTCTGTAGTGGGTTTGCCCAGATTCAAATCCCTACTTCCTTTTTCCAGTGAGTCTTCTGAAAATTTATCTAGTTCTTCATGCCTAGATTTCTTCATATGTTAAATGGGGAATATTAATAGTACTTGTATAATAGTAAGAATTAGTATTTTGAGGATTAAATGAGATGAAACAAAAAATTATTTCATGGAATAAAGTCAGCTAATTTACCAGAACCATACAGATGGTGTGAGATTAGCACATCTTGAGATGAAATTTTAGCTATTAAAAAGATTTTATATCTGTGTATCTCACACTGATAAAACTGATTAATCTGACTAATTGCAATTCAGAATGAACCTCTCAGTCTTAAGGGTAAAGATAATTCTCAATAAAAGCTGTCTGCCAGATTTTGATCATCTTGGTCGAAAATGTAAAGTAGGAACAATTGAGGGGGAAACCCCAACAAGCCCTTGGGGTTTATAGTTTTGGGGTATTTTATCTGCATTTTATTCACTGTATTTTTTTAATTAACTCTTTTTATCCTTGGTTCTTAGAACTTCACCAGGTAATTATTTAATTTCCATTGTGAAGAAGGTTTTAATTGAGATGGAACTGAAAAGTCATTCTTTGATCCCCAGTAGAGGGCAGCAAAATACATATAATCACTTCTACAGAACCTAGCTATGATAACCTTTTTCTTATTGCATTAATCATATAAACTATCACTATATATATTTAATGTGAAAATTTTCTCAGTTTTGCAAGCATGGTTAGATTTATATCCTCAAAACTATTAATCCAAAGAAGAAAAAAATCATAACATTTTTGTAAGTTGAACACCTAAGCCAGTTAATGAAGCTGTTTATATTTTGATGTCTGGCTTATCTGTTTTATCTTTGTATGATTCAGCTCATCTAGTTTAAGTGCTCTGGCTAGGAGCTTTGATTATATCTTCAGTCTGATAACTCTTGTCAAAGGAGAGGCGTGAAGCTCAGACCTGGTATTCCTCAGTTGTAGATCTGGCCAGCTGGCTGGTGTTTTAGGTTTTTTTGTGCCCAGGGCAGGCAGAAAGCTGCCCTTACAACTATCTAGAGTTTACAAGTGAGTAAACCAGATGTACTATAATCCTGGAACAGTAGATTTTATAAAATGTCAGCACAAGAGATGAGCAGTTCTGTGGCTAAAGCATTAAGAGCCTACTCTCTGAGGACTGTGGGGCATGATGGGGAGCACAGAGGGACACTTCAATTAAAAGTCTGTCCAATTAAAAGTAATTTTAAAGGAAAAGACCAGAAATAAGCCCAACATTTATTAAATTGAGCTGTAAATGTTTCTCTAGAATATCTTAACAAAACGTTAATCTTAAAATGTATGTAGAAAAATTGTATCTTGCTCCAAAGAACACATTTGAAATAAAGAACATTGCTGTTTCTACTTACTAAATTATTTCTGGGTTCCGCCTTTCTAAAAGTAGGTTTTCACAGAGGAACTTTGAATAAGTAGACTTTAAAAGTCCCATATTGGTATCCTAGATGAAAAGGACCATTTGAAATCGCTGACGGGAGTATCCTATCTGGAGAACTGAAACGCAATGACACTGTTTTTCCATCATGTCCCCAGTTTAGTTGCCATTTCAAAATAATATTAAAAAAATCAAATTTGAAAAGTATCTATGGCTCTTACAGAGTGAAATTCAAAGTGAAATTTTGAAATAAGTCATTTTGACAACAAAAAAGATAGAGTCCTGTGGCATGTGATATTGGATGAATCTGATAATTTCCCTGAATTTGTTTTCTTGTCTCTGAAACAAAGGGTTTAAATGTGTTTTTTCAACCTGGGCTGTGCATTACAATCACCTAAGGAGCTTTAAAAAAATGCCCTTGCTTGGGCTCAAGAGATTCTGGTGTAACTGGTTTGTCTTCCATGTGGAGGTAGTAACTGTACAAAGGCATTGGGCCAGAGAATACAGCTCAATGGAAGTAGAAGTAATTCTGTATTTGTGGGTTTTAGAAAGCTGATGGTAGAAGGTGGCAAAAGATAAGGGTAGAGATATTGAGAGTGGGGAAAACGGATGGAGTGGGAAGGAGAAGATATTGCAGAGTCTTGTGGGATTTTAAGGAGGAGATAGGAAGAGATTTGCATTGCAGAAGGATCACTCTAACTGCAGTGAGAGTAGATGAAACCCAGGCAGGACTGGAAGTGGAGAAGCTAATTAAATGCCATCACAGTGGCACTGAGGATAAAAGTGAAGATAAAGGAGGATAAGACAGAAGCAGAGGGGATGGGAAAATAAAAGGCCATCAATTTATTCTACTGTAATCGTGGATAACTTCCAGAATGTACCCAGTGATACCAGGAGGGTGAGGGCTTGCTGGTATAGTGCAAGTTAGGGTATGAACCAAATTTTTTAGACTTCCACCTGGCTGTTGACATAGGACAAGTTTGTTTGTAGGGCTCAGGGCTGCATCTTCTAGGGGCCTCTCTTGCAAACGTTGGCAGGTTGGCGTGAGAATCGTGGTCTAGAATGTGAATGGAAAGGTAATCGTTTCAGGCTTCCATTGGGGCAAAACATGCCAGCCTGTTTCTGATGCTGGTTCTGGTTGTGACAAGAAGTTTCTACACTTATGTGTTATTCACAGCCTTTCACTGATAACAAGAGTAAAAGGTATCTGTTTTTCTTTTCTCTCTGATGCCTCAGGATGCAAGAGAAGATGATTTTACATGTGCTGTGACCTTTTAGGAACATCTGATGATATAAATGCTGTGGCATTGGTCATCTGCACAAGTGTAAGAACGTAATGGGTAAGTTTTTTGTTTTTTTTTTATGACACGGTGTGTATTGATTTGATATAATTTCAAATCCACTTGTTGATGACAAAGACCAAAAGAACATGAAGTTGACTTTACAACTAAAGTTCTCATGAAGTAAGTCGTGTTAGGGTGTCTTGTCTCATCTGTTGTCGTTGATAAGCATTCGGGAGTTCAGTTGCTGATGGCCCCACTGGGGCTTACCTGTGAAAACATATGGAGACGCAACTGTGGCCAATAGACATGTAGACTATAAAAAGTGAGTGTTTGTGAGGACTTCCTAGAATGTTTGGGCCAGGCAAGGTGACCACTGATCTAAAGAGCTCTCCCAAGACCTTGGGGCAATTAGCTAACGCTGCAGTAAAGACAACTTTCTTACCAGCAGCGCAGAAAACTGTGCAGCACTTCTTTTGCCCATTAACACTGGCGCCATCATTCCCTAGCAATGTGCTCTAACAACAGCGGACTTTTAATTTGCCCATCAACACTGGCACCATCATTCCCTAGCGATGTGCTCTAGCAACAGGGGACTTTTATGTTTTGGGCTGGCAGCTGAACATAAGCTCTCAGTTGGCTAAGCCAGATCACTCAAGTACTAATTCCTCTAAGGGTACACCGCAACTAAATAGTGGGCTTTATTTTCTCACCTCCCCTTGCCTGGAACAATAGTGTGATTAACTTATCTTTGGTTGGAAGTAGGTTATTCTTTCCTTGGCTTTTGAAGAGACATTACCCTATGTGCTGTGGGTTGTGAAATTCCTGCAGTAAACTTGTATTAAATAAATTGCTGGCAAAGATAAACTCAGTCTCTGAGCATTAATTTGCCACCCCACATTGAAACATATGGATGCTAAGGTAAAGCGGGCTATTTGGTGAGGAACTGAAAGTTAATGATGTCATCTAGGCTGGAAATGCTCAATAAATCAAACTAGCTCATTAGATAAAAGGACATACTCC